TCATCCAACTTCCTGCTTTTTACAGTGGCTAGCCAGGGAACGTAAGAGCTCGGCTGGATCAGGGCAAAGGTCCACCTAGCCCAGCATTCTGTTCTCAAATTAAATGTAAACTCCAGAAGGCTAGAGATGCTCATGTGAGATCTTGTGAGAACTAGGACGGGCTCTGTGAGATTTTGCGAAAGCATCCCAAAACATACGCACTGAGAGAGCCTTGCCTTGCACCCCCCGCCCCCAAAGACCAGGGCAGAGAGCTTAAAAGCTCTTTTAGAGCTGGGTCTTAATTGGAGTTCCTGGTGTGAAAAGAGCTTATAAGTGTTCTGCTTTGCGGGGGGCGGGGGCAAGGCTCTTTCAGTGTGGTGGCTCCAGAAGGCTAGGGATGGTAGCATAGGGGCGGTTCCAAGAGGGGAGTTTGAGTATGCACATCTTTGCATATACAGTGGTACCTCGGGTTAAGTACTTAATTTGTTCCAGAGGTCCATTCTTAACCCGAAACTGTTCTTAACCTGAAGCACCACTTTAGCTAATGGGGCCTCCTGCTGCTGCCATGCTGCCAGAGCACGATTTCTGTTCTCATCCTGAAGCAAAGTTCTTAACCTGAGGTACTATTTCTGGGTTAGCGGAGTCTGTAACCTGAAGCGTATGTAACCTGAAGCATATGTAACCCGAGGAACCAATGTACAGTCGTTCCTTGGAAGTTGAACGGAATCCGTTCCGGAAGTCTGTTTGACTTCCGAAATGTTTGAAAACCAAAGCGCGGCTTCTGATTGGCTGCAGGAAGCTCCTGAAGCCAATGCGAAGCTGCAGAAGCCCCGTCAGACATTTGGCTTACAGTCACTTCCAGGGTTGCAGGGTTTGGGAGCCAAAATGTTCGGGAACTAAACTGTTCAAAAACCAAGGTATGACTGTACGTGCACTCCCTGGAAAGTAACCCCCGTATAAGATGCAGTCATCCTGTATTATGTGGATGTTTTGATGATTAATATTTAGAATGCAAACAAGAGACTGATCTTAGCTTTTTAAGGCTACTGTTGTTTTCTTTTGGAAGTAGGTGAACCATTTGTATTCTCCCAGTTCCCATATGGTGTATGCCTATGCCTGTGCATGTGTTCATGCGAGTGAGACAAATTGCTCATATTCTAGCTTGGTCCCCTTTGATGCCATCTTTGAGTTTAAGTTGTCAAGATGAAAGGCCACACAGGAAGGATTTTTACTCATCTAGAGCATGTGATGATTAAATGCATTGTAGTAATTAGTGTTTACTACTAACAGAATTGGCATTCATATTCCAAGCATTAATTAACAGGGGAGGAAATAGAAATAGATCATATTTACACATCACAATTATTCCTCTAAAGTCTAAGTGGCTCCAAAGCAGAAGAATTTATTAAAAGCGAAAGCAGACTGAGGTATGTCCCCAAGGGCAACACCATCCATGGGGGATCGACTTTGAACAGAGAATGTGTGGATTACACAGTAATCCTGCACATGCCTACTTGAAAGTAAGTCCCACTTAATTCAATGGAGCAAGTGGGTATAGGATTGCAGCCATATTCTCTTAGATAAATGCACACTGATCCTGATTGCTGTAATGAAACATGACTGCAAGGACATATGGTCTGAGTCCTGATTTCTGGTGAAAATGATGAACTAGATTTTTTAGTGGACTGTGGTACAGCATGGTATGAATTCCTTCGGGGAGGTAAGTTTCTCAAGATGCAAAAACTTAGATTTACTGTAGCTACGATGAGGCGCTTCAGTATTATCCATGGGACAGATTCCTCCCCTTCATCTGAGGGCAGCATGCTAGCTCAGAAAGCACAGGTTAGGCCAAATAGCGCACTTGCAGTTCTGTCCTTCAACCTGCAACCCAGCACCTACCACCTGAGGCAACTGCTTCACTGTGTCCAGTGGTAGGGACACCCTGACTAACACATCACATGGATTTTGTTAGTCATAGGAACCAGGAGGGAATGACATATGTATGGGCTGTGGTGTTCAGAAGCAGCGCTTAAACAGTGCTCCTTATCCTTGGAATTAGAGCAGCCTGGTTGTGCCAGATTCCTCCTCCCACATGGGTGGTGAGAAACTTTTGCTAATCATGTATATGGGATAAGTGTGTGCAATTACCATGGTTGAGTGCAGCATGGTGTACCCAAAATAGCTGACACCATACATCTAAATGATCAGGTTAGGGTAGGGAACTTTCACTTTAAAACACCTAGAACTCTTACAGCACATTTTTATTCTTTTCCTCTTCTGTACTGTTAGCTTCTCAGCTCTCAGTAATAAGAATTCACCTAGGAGCAAGTCATTTGCTTTTTTTTTTTTAAAAAAAAGAAGAATCTACACAGTACAAGATACAAAAATCTACAAATTCCTTGTGAGTTGGCATGGTTGAAAGAGAAAACCTGTAGGGATGAAGTCATGTGACTTGCCAGGAGGGAATTTCAACTTTAGAGACACTGCCCCCCCCATTTCTTTTATCACTGAACATTCTGGTATTCTACCTATGGAAATTGCTTCATGCACATATTTTGAAATATAGCTCTTCAGTTTATTGATGTAATCTGAGCAAGATCTGCAAGGGATTCCCACATGGAAGGGTTAATGTTGTCAGCCTTTGTGTCACATTTGCACACATCTTTTTAATGCAGAATTAGTCTGCCAACAGGCCTAGTGCCTGAAGTCAACTGGATCCAGAAGTGCCTTGTCCACATCAGCCAACTGCATAAAGCCAAAGGGGTCCCTCCTCACACTAACCTCTGGACCACCCAAAATAACCCTGTTGGCTGGCTACTAGAGGACACAATGAGAGCTGCAAAATGAGCATTCTTTGCAGCTTACACTGCTACACGGTAGGCACGATTGTGTTTTCTTACCAGTGTTTGGTCAGCTTCAAAGCTAAACATGAGCCATTTGTGCTATAGTCTTTGTCTGTTCTGTTTCACAGTCCAGAGCTCCTCAGAGTACCAAGGAGCTGCTCAGGCTCCAAAGCACCCAATAAGACACTCAGGAGCATTTGTGTCAACCTTGCCATTCCATAGCGAGACTTGGGCTTCAGGAGGATCACCCGCTTTCACCTCTGGAAACCATAGCTGTTAACTTACAGATTTGAAAATAAGGGGCCAGCAGCCTCAAAAATAAGGGACCAGCAGCCAAAATAAGGGATTTTAGTCAACCAGCTCCCGAGCCAAAGGCAGAAAGCCCAGCCAGCCCATCAGCCAAACGAAGCCTGTGTTTCCCACAGCACAGCAAACCGGCAAAGGGGGTCAGCAAGGAAAACCACTGTCACCTCTCCGCTGGGAAGCGCTGAGCAAAGGAGAGTCCCTAGGCAACACGGCTGATTTGATCGGCACAAGGCATGCAAGCTCCACCCCCCCAGTCGTTCTTAGACTCCTTATTGGGTGAGCAATGCAGCCAAGCAACACAGTTGAAGCCTCCCTCCTCCCTGGCTGGCAGGGAGGGAGGGAGGGAGAGAAGCTGCTTCCTTTAAAACCCGGGAAATTGAAGGGACATCATCAATAAGGGACAGCAGTGGGACACGGCGCTGGGATAAGGGAGTTTCCCGCCAAATAAGGGACAGTTGACAGCTATGCTGGAAACCCCCCACCCAAGCATTTAGGAATACATTAGGTTCCATCTGTCTCCGAGGGTGGGCTATCAGAGCAGGCCCACCACTCTTACAGGGAGAATTGCCATTGTCAGTTCAAAATTAACCAAATCATGATCTCAGCATGACAAGGGAGTGCACTGCATCCCCCTGTCTTCTATAATTTGGGGCTAATATCACATCAGGGGTGTGCCCCTCCTGAAGCGTTGGGCCAATGACAATCTGAGAGAGACCCACAGTTGTCATGAAGGCCATGAACAGGATCCACGTGGATATTGATGCCACCCAGGATTATCGTTTTAGGGTCCTCCAACAATACCCTTGGTTAGCCAGGTCAGGGATACTGCTGGGCAACAGGGTGGTCAGTAAACCAGCAGCATCCCCAATCTGTTTCTTAGGAATAAACTACTATCTGACATTTAGAAGACATCTGCAGGCAGCCCTGTTTAGGGACGTTTTTTAATGACTGATATTTTATTGTATTTTTAATCTCCTGTTGGAAGCCGCCCAGATGGGTGGGGTATAAGTAATAAATCATCACCATCATCATCCCTGGCCCAACATCAGGTGCCGACCATGTAAGTCCATCCCAAGATTATGGACAACAGCAACACCCCGCCACAACTCCCCAGTCTAGCCTGGTGCAGTGCAGGCAACCGTGGATTTAGTTGCATCTGAATGACATGCGATCTCGCTTGCATGGCACTGAACTTGGAAGTAGCCCCAAAACATTGTGAACCGCCCTGAGATTGAGGAGTACTGTATAGGGCAATATACAAATTTAATAATAAGAATAACAAATAAGTCACGAAAATGATGAGGAATGGGGATGGAATGGGGCAGAGCAGGCTTAAGTTGGGCCTATCCAGCTCGCTCACCAAGTCTCAGTAATGCAAACCACATCTTCCAGCTCATGCACAATCAGATTGTGCACACATATGTTTCTGTTATTTATTTATTGTTATTATTTTTATTATGGACTGATCTAGCATTCAGAATCAGCACCACAAGACCAGAGGACTCAGCAGATATTCTGCCAGCAGATATTCTCATTGGTGGACTGAGAGGACTGGAACAAGAAACAGAGACCAAACACTTAGGCCTCCAAGCACTAATAATAATAATAATAATAATAATAATAATAATAATAATAATATCATCCAAAGAAATAAGTAATGCTCAAAGTAGGTAGACTTGAAATGCTTCATGCCCTACTGATTTCAAAGGTTCCCCACACTCTACATCCACACGCTAATAACGAGAAGTGACATTAATATGTCTGTTAATATCCGAGGGTGGCACGACGAGAGGCCCCCTCCCCTCTCTCGTCCCGCCCTGAGGAGGGACCAACAAAATGGCGGCGGCGGCGCGCCGTTGATTCAAACGCAGCGCGCGGGGCGGCGGTGGTGGGAGGCGGCCTCCCGGCGGGGTTCACTGCGCCTGCGCCCCGCGATTCAAGATGGCGGACAGTGCGGAACTAAAGGTAAAGGCGCAGTTTCAAGCCGCCCCCCCTCCCCTCTTCCTCCCCCCCCCGCCTCACCGCCGCGGCTCTTCTCTACTCCCGGGCCCCCCTCCTCCTCCCCGCAGCAGGTCTGGCCCGGCGGCCGGGCGACCCAGTGGAGGAGCGCAAAGAGGGAGGGAGGGAAGGCTGGCTGGCTGGCTGGCGGCGATCCGGGGGTGTGTAAGAGGAGAGGGAAGAGAGGAGCTGAGGGAGGGACGGAGGGAGAAGTGAGGTGGGGGGGGAGCGCCTTTTGGCTCACCCATTGAACTGAGTTTGCCTCCCCCCGTATGTCCCCCCTTGCTTTTCTCATCAGCCGCCACCCTAGGAAGCGAGTCCGCTCGAGTCTACTTTCCCTCCGAGGTGCTTTTCTCTCAACCCCCCGCCCTGCGAGGTTGGCCAGGGCTGAGGAGGAGAGGAGACCTCGTTCTGCTGCCCAAGTTGTGGGCGACTCTTCTCTCTCCCCACACCTGCATCAGATCAGCCTGCCTCTCCCTCCCTCTCTCTCTCTTCTTTGCTCCTCCACCTTGAGCTGGCTCAGTGGGTCCTCGCCCCCTTGAAGGCCACGAATTTGAGGAGTGCAGAGTAGGTTATGTGCGTCTCCTCCCTCCCCATCTCAAGAGGAATAATCTAAAAAGGGGGTCCCGCACAAAGCTGCCCCTTCTTCTTTGACAAAGATGATCGTCCTATTCGCTTACGTGGAACGGAGTTTGTCCAGAATCTGGCTTCTTTCACCTACCCAGCTTTTGCCCCCCTCTTTTCTGCCTCTCTTCCATACGTTTCTTCAACAGTGCAAGGGGCAGAGAACAAGGAGGAAAATGTGTCTTTCCCTAATCCTCTTATCCCGAAGTTTTGACAGCTCTCCCTGACTTTTAAATGCTTAGTATTTGCCAGTGGCAGAGAAGGGTGCCTGAAAGGAGTGGAAACTGAGAGACCCTCCTCCCCAAACTTTCACTTTCAAAGGGTGGAAACTGGTTTTGTAGTAGATCCTTTTGATGTTGGTGTTCGTTCAAATTTCCTTTTTTTGTAATCCTTGACCTGGATTGCAAAGGTTTTATTACTCCATCCAAAGATGCTAGTGCAGTAGGCAGGGAACCCAAATTATGGGTGTGTGAGCAACAGCTGCCTTTCAGAGGAAGTAAATAAAACTATAAGCCATGTGTGCATGCATTTTTTCTACTTCCCAAGAGGTTTGTTAAACCTACATTTTATTTGAAATCGTAGATGAAATGATCAAGGGCTTATTTTAATGGGAGTAAGAAACTGAATAGAAACTTTGGCTGTATTTAGATCCTTAAGCTCATGTGATGGAAAAGGCTTTTTAGCTCATTTCCTGAGAAGAAATTCTCTCATGTTGAAATCTAAAGCGCTCTGAACTCTCTAGAGGGATAGTAGATAGGAGGAAACTCCCACCACCTTGGTTTCCTGTTTTAAAGTGAGAGGAAACCAAAAGTGCTGAATCTCACTTGCTCTTCCCTCTTATACACTGCTATTTTCTTAGTATAGCCTCCATGCATGACAGCTAGAGAAAAAAGAGTGAGTTTAAAAATATCTGAGATGATTTTGCAGCCAATCCTTCATCTGAATAAAGTGTGTGTGTGTGTGTGTGTGTGTGTGTGTGGTAGTATATATATTAAAAGCCTTTTCTGAAAGTCTTCAAATGCCCTATTCGCTAAATGAGTGAGGTTTGATATGGCTGCTACAATTCTAGTTGCTTGCTGTGATTCCCCAGGGGGTATTATAGTAATAGATCATAATTTCCTTTTTTTAGTCCTCAACATACCCACCCTTGGTAAACACAAAGGATTGTTTTTTAAATAAAAAGTATTTAGTATATTTCTTAATCTGTTTTGAAGACTTGCCTGTTTACATACTATAAAATTCAACAATGATTACAATAGTCACATGTTAAATATTGAATAACAAAATGTGTCTAGTAGGTTGAGAGGGGGTGTTTATTTTCCCTACATACTGTAGACTTTTATAATCACGATGTCTTTGTAAGCAAAATAGAAACCACATGTTTAATACCTTTTTATAGATAATATGTCAAAATGCATGTCAAATGCTTTCCAGTTAAAATTCATTTACCAAGGGATTATTTTGTTTACAGTGTCTCTCAATGTCTTAATGCTTTTGGAAATCACACATGTTGCTTTTATGGCTTTTTTATCCTGGCTTTTCAGAAAGGTTCTTTGCTCCTTTGGGACATGTGTACACAGTGATGGCAGCTCTCTTTGTGAGGTGAAGATGAATGGATCCTGTTTATAACCTCCATTGCCTTTTGTGTTTGGGGTGTGTGTGTGTGGAATCTTGCTGCAGTAGGAGACTTGAGGAAGCCTAGTGCCCATTTCTGCAGGCAGCTTGTTGTAAAGCATAAAAAGGTTTATCTGTTTTCCTTCACACTTGGGGTTGCTTCATTAATCTTAGTGCAGTAAATACAGCAAGGTATTGGTAACAGACTCTTATTGGCTAGGATGCTACATTTATTAGGTAGTTGTTTTAAGCTTGGTTGATCCGGGTGGCAAAAGATTTCCACCTCAATCTTTTACCTCTTCCTTCAATGCCTCTCTGGAGAGAGGGAATACATATATGTGTGTGCAATTCCTCCTCATGAGAGCTTGATAAAATTACTTGATGAATTACTAGATTGTGTTTTTTAAATAGATGCCATTGTCGGAGGCAGCATGCCTCTAAATATCATCTGCTGGTAATCGCTAACAGGGAGAGTCCTGATGCTCTCAGCTTCCCATAGTCATCTGGATAGCCACTGTGGGAACAAGCTGCTCCGCTAGATGGGCCTTTGGCCTGATACAGCAGGGCTCTTCCTATGTTTCTTTTTAAAAACTGGAATTTTATGTTGGTCTACTTCTACTGCCCTCTATCTAACCCCCAGTTCCTATCTGAGTAGGCAAGTTTTTGTCCCCTCCCTCTAATATCTTTTCAATGCATATGCTAACTTTCCTTTCTCCCGATAATGCTTAACTTTACTGCTTATTACCCTTGCTTTCCCAAAAATCAGCATAAGGAAACTGATATAGTTCTTCTCAATTTTCTGTCCTTACTGGTTTGTAGCCAGAAATGTGAAACTGACTTCTTTCATCAATCTTATTCATTGGTTTCTTTTGGAGAGGTGGGCAGGAATGACCCGCAGGCATGGCATAATGAAGGTTGCAGGCTTTAAAAAATGCCTTCTGTTTTGTTATCGAGGACAATCCTTTGTTTAGATAAAGCAACTTTTATTTACTTAAGAGATTCTTTGTAAGTTAGCAGTCAGATTGCTGGGGAAAATATTTTGCCTTTTGAAATTTATATTAAGTTTTCCTGCTTACCTGTGTTTGACATATTCTCAACCAAAAATTGAAGTTCTGTGACACAGAAAATGTCCAGTCCTTCTGCTTCCTGAGTTATGGGAAGAGTAAATGTTAGTTTGTAGATCTTGTGAAAAACCCTACTTCAAGTGTCAGGTGGGGCAAATGCTTTATTGAGGGATGGCAAGAAAGGGTTACAGCTCACTGTAAATTGTCATAGAACCATGACCACAGTTTCAAGTAATGAATATTTTCAAGGATGCTCCCAAAGAAAGTAGGCAGGGGAGACTTTCCATCTTTTATGGCTTTCCAAGCCCTGTTGGATCGCTTTGATACCAAGCAAATATCCCCTACTGTAACTTGAATAATTATTTCTGCTAACATTTGTGTGCAGTCTAAACTGAAATATTTTGTCAGCCTCCTGTTAGTATTCTTAACAAGTAAGATAAATACAGGCATTAAAAGAAATAATCCTGGCTTGGATTCAGAGTAAGTTGGTTGCACTTAGTACTCATTGAAAGCAGTGGGATTTAAATGGCAGCATAACTAACTTGTCCCATTGATTTCAGTGGAACCTAAGTTCAGCTAACTTCAGTGTGGATCCAGCCCATTGTGTGTAAAACTGTCACTAAAAGCTGTTAAATTACAGGGAGATGTGTTCTTCCGTTTTGCTTTGTATTTTCTTAGTAAACATCAGAGCTGCCTCTTTTTAAATGTTGTATTCAAACTAAAACATTCTGAGACATTAAATAGCTTGAGTGCCAGATAGTCAGAATTTTTCTTCTGCCATTGAAAATTTCCTGTGTCCTAATATATCATCTAGTTACTTTTTAAAATCAAACAGGTTCTGAAAACATTGGTTCCTTACCCAGCATTGTTCTTTTTTAGAGGGTTGTGAATTCCCCAGTTCCTTATTCTTATTCACCTATGAGATTTTGTGTGTGTGATGATATAATAGCTCATATTAAGAACATAAAATGAGCCTGCTAGATCAGGCTGGTGGCCCATCTGTACCACACTGGCCACAGGATGCCTGTGGGAATCTTCAAGCAGGACCTGAGCACAGGAGCACCCTGGTTTTCAGAAGCACACCATCTTGGCTGTTAGCCATTGATAGTCTTCTCCTCCATGAATTTGTCCAATCCTTTTTTTAAAGCTTTACAGATGAGTGGCCATCATTGCTTCCCAAGGGAGTGAGTCCCGCAGTTTATGCACTATGTCAGAGCTTTCCAAATTTTTCATGTTGGTTACACACTTTTTAGACATGCATCATTTTGCGACTCAGTAATTAAGTTTTACTAGCAAACTGAATGTTAAACTAACCCCTTTCCAGCCCCGGGAGGAGCACGGGGAGCTTTCGTGTGACACCTACACACTGCAGCCAACACAGTAACATGTCGTGACACACAGTTTGGAAAGCTCTGTGCTAAGTGATAGGGAAGCGTATAAATAAACAGCTAGTTGTGGAGTAGTACGTTGTGTGATCTTTGTGTGAATGTGTTCATTACTTCAGTTCTAGGTTTTCATAACATTTACATATACAGTGGTACCCCGCAAGACGAATGCCTCGCAAGACGGAAAACCCGCAAGACGAAAGGGTTTTCTGTTTTGGAGGCGCTTCGCAAGACGAATTTCCCTATGGGCTTGCATCGCAAGACGAAAGCCCATAGGGAA